AAGTGATCAACATAATTAATTGATTTTTGGAATATATTCAGAGCCAAAAAGTCTTTGTGTATACCAAAAATTTAGCCGTTCGGAGCCATTCAGTCACGAATTATTAGTAAAAAAAGTGTCGAGTATATCGTACTATCGACGAATATATATGGCCACATCGCAAAATAGAATGCGACGTTGCCATACCGCCTGAGATATACGCGATAGGAGTCAAGTTATTCAGTGCAAAAGGTGGAATCAGCAAGTGTGTAGGTTGTGGCGTGATCAACAAAGTGCCCAAAGAGGTGTTTATATATATATATATATACATTTGTCTTTAATTCAAAGGAAATATAAATAATGAACGCATCACATTTAAAACAGTAATAAGTACGTACGTAGTATTATCACGTGGTAACAGCACGTATTATGGCATAAATAAACATCGGCTGATTTGAAAAGATTTATTATAGTAATAATAGTAATCTCAGGACAATTCACACAGCTTCATCTAGACCCAAGTTAAGCTAGCTGAAGATTATGTTATGGGTACTAGACAACTGATATAAATACAAAGATTTTTTTTTCGTAAATACATATATATTATCTATACATAGAAAACACCCAGACCGTTACAAACAATCATACTCATGAATACAAATGTTTGCAGCGTGCGAGGAATCGAACCCTCGACCACCAAGCAGGAATCAAAGCGGTGTGCTAGATAAATCGCTAGACTACCGACAACTAGCTGTACACGCGACTTCGTCCGCGTGGAATTTAACTTCTTATATTTTAGAAAAATAAAGTGAAATTCCACACCGACGAAATCCCGTGTACAGCTAATCATCAATAAAAAACACGTAGGTATCTCTAATATATTATACACTAGCTGTTCCCGCGACTTCGTCCACGTGGTTTTTAACTTTATTTGTCTAAAATAAAAGTAGCCTAAGTTACTCCTTATTACATCAGCTACCTGCCAAAAAAAGTCCCGTCAAAATCGGTCCAGCCATTTCAGAGATTAGCCGGAACAAACAGACAGACAGATAAAAATTGTAAAATATGTTATTTTGGTGTATGTACCGTATTTATATTCATATGCAAGTAGTAAAAAACGGTTATTTCAATATTACAAACAACAGGCTTCAACATTCTCAAGTACCACAAAAAATATGTTTTTTCTATCAAATAAACCGTTTTTATTAAAAACAAGCTGTTCCCGCGACTTCGTCCGCGTGGAATTTAACTTTATTTTTCTAAAATAAAAGTAGCCTAAGTTACTCCTTATAAATCAGCTACCTGCCAAAAAAAGTACCGTCAAAATCGGTCCAGCCATTTCAGAGATTAGCCGGAACAAACAGACCGACAGACAGACAGACAAAAATTATAAAAATTGTTATTTTGGTATATGTACCTTATATATATTCATATGCATGTAGTAAAAAACGGTTATTTCAATATTATAAACAGACACTCCAATTTTATTTATATGTATAGATTATTATTTATTTATTTATTTATTCATCCAAAATAATACAAATTGTGTAGGATAACATAATAGTAACATTACAGTAAAATTTTGTCAACAACATAATAGCAACTTAAACATTAAATCTCGGTATATTTATAGACTAGTTGGCCCCAGCGACTTCGTCCGGGTGAAATTTTATTTTATTTTTCTAAAATAATAGTAGCGTAAGTTACTCCTTATGACATCAGCTACTTGCCAAAAAAAGTCCCGTCAAAATCGGTCCAGCTATTTCAGAGATTAGCCGGAACAAACAGACAGACAGACAGACAAAACTTGTAAAATATGTTATTTTGGTGTATGTACCGTATTTATATTCATATGCAAGTAGTAAAAAACGGTTATTTCAATATTACAAACAGACACTCCAATTTTATTTACATGTATAGATGTATAGATTAAAAAAAAAGTAACAGTCATAAGGCTAGTCGTATGCCTAATATATGTAATAATGTAATAAATTCATTTAAACAGAAATTGCGGGAACATTATTTAAATTTGTAACTTTTTTACTGTCCTTCTCCTTTTTTCACATCTTTCTGTTATATCCCTATAGTTCTCTCTATATTTTCTGTTTTTCTTACTTTCAATTTGAGACTGTACTTATAATTTGATTATCGGATCATTATGTATTTATTTATATAGAATATTTATACATTTATGGGTTATATTTATGTATGTATATTGTTATTTTTTTATAAAAATGTGTATTTTGCTTTGTATTTATATATCTTTTTTTGACATTTCTTATTTATATTAGTGCACCGCCAATAATCTTTCTCTGCACCACTCATAGTTGCCTGGTAATTAACGAGGCAAGATATTAAGTCCACCGCATGTACGAATTTTTTTGTGCATTAAAGTTAAATAAATAAATAAAAATACAATACTGTTTAATGAAAATGCGTATTGTCTAGTGCTTTGAGATGTATCAATATAAGGTCAACAAAAAAGTCCGTGATGGTATATGTCTATCTCTTAAGGATAACCAACAATAACCATTTTTTATCTTTTACATTTTACGGGATTTTTTTTTATCGTATGTTTCCCTTAAAATAATGTAAACTATGTTATTATGTCATAATCTAAAGAAATAATAATATTTTATAGTGAAATATCCACTATAAAATACCAAAAAGTAGCAATGTAATTCGTTACGCGCGAATCAGCTGTTATAAGGTCAAAGGTCGGTGCACCCCGCGTATTTGATAAATAGTGCTTCTCTGGATGTCTTTAAGAGAAAATGGCAGTATGTACGTGTATATGTACAAGTCCTTAAGTGTTAAGTTTTTCAAATGTACAATAAAGAATAAATATTTTTAAGTACAGTACTTACGTACATTAATATAATACCTACTTTTTACTTGTATCTATTGTTATCAAAATTAAATTATAAGTTCTTAACTTGACCACGACTATGTGACCTTCTCTTGGCGCCAAAACGAGTGAAAAAATGAACAGCATACGACGACGACGCAGTACCTATAGAGTGGAGCAACTGCTTATTCAGTTTTATTCAACTATTTAGTCCCTCCACCGTTACAATGAATGGAGGCGGATATTACAATGTATGTAGCATTGCGAATATAAAATATCTAGATTAGGTATAATAAATTCATAATTGATAGACCGTTACGGTATCAGAGCCAAAAAGTCTTCTTTCTTTATTTATGTACTGTTAGATGCGACAGCGACTTTGTTTTATACTACACTATGTAATGATTGATATACCTAAAATAAATAAAATATCTGAGGTTTGGACAAAAATTCAAAAGGTACTTTATTTTGAAAATACCTATTTTGCATTTAGTATTTGAAATACAAAACACAAAACTATTTTTGTTTTTAGAGTGACATTTCTATGAATTCACTGTCGATAGCGAGCGGTGCGATGGAAAAAGATAACCGTTTATAAAAATGTAATAAATAACCCTGGACAATTAACACAGACTGATACTGAACTGATATAAATAGATATTTTTATTTTGTAAATACATATATAATATACATATAAAACACCCAGACCGATACAAACAATCATACTCATGAATACAAATGTTTGTGCCGTGCGAGGAATCGAACCCGCAACCATCGGATGTAAAGCGGTGTGACCACCGGGGCAGTCGAAATATATGAATATTCTTATGAATTTAATTTATTCTAATTTGTTTGTGTGCGTGGGGTGCGATGTACGGTGCTCCCCCTGCCTCCGTTGCTGGAGCTTGCATGTATGGAGCATTGCGAATATAAAATATCTAGATTAGTAAATTAATAAATTCATAATTGATAGACCGTTACGGTATCTATATATATTCGGATCAAAATAAGTATCGCAGTAAGGACGAGTATATAAAGTGATCAACACAAGTAATTGATTTTTAAAATATATTCAGAGCCAAAAAGTCTTTGTGTATTCAAAAAATGTAGCCGTTTGGAGCCAGTCATGCACGAATTATTATTAAAAAATGTATCGAGTACATCGTACTATCGACGAATATATATGGCCACATCACAAAATAGAATGTTTATATATATATATATATATAAACACCTCTTTGGGCACTTTGTTGATCACGCCACAAGCCAAACACTTGCTGATTCCACCTTTTGCACTGAATAACTTGACTCCTATCGCGTATATCTCAGGCGGTATGGCAACGTCGCATTCTATTTTGCGATGTGGCCATATATATTCGTCGATAGTACGATATACTCGACACATTTTTTACTAATAATTCGTGACTGAATGGCTCCAAACGGCTAAATTTTTGGTATACACAAAGACTTTTTGGCTCTGAATATATTTCAAAAATCAATTAATTGTATTGATCACTTTATATACAGGTCCTTACTGCGATACTTATTTTGATCCGAATATATATAGATACCGTAACGGTCTATCAATTATGAATTTATTAATTTACTAATGTAGATATGTTTGTGGGGTACACAATTAAAAGGTCTTCGATTTTCTAAATGTGTGGACTGTATTTCAATTTGTTTCTTATTCTATGGGTCGGCCGGCCGGAGTGGGGTTTTCTTGGTCGTTGCGCCGGCGGTGGTTCTTCGTCGGTGGCGTATGCGTAAGAGAGCGCGATCGAGAACCAACCCGCCTTTTACGGGCGCCCGAGCGCGTCCTTCCCCACCCCCGCCGAGCCGTGCGCGTCGGCCGTCCCACCCACCCGACAAATCCAGCACATGTCGGTGACCGACGGGCCGGAACAGCGAATACGCACACATTTAAAATTAAATACAATAGTAACAATACAAAAAACTACAAAAAACCACGTGCGACTAAATGCCACATGTTCAGGCTACACTAAAGCTGTGATCCCTAAGAATTTACACAATGGGCGGACATAGAATTCACAGTATCTATGCCGCTACAAAGGGTATATGGTACAAACAATAGTCTAACCTAAACAATAGTCAAAACACTGGAAAAATACAAATTTATACACAAATTTATTTACATATTTTCGATGCCGACTCGTGGTCCGCAACAGCCTCCCCCCGGCGCAGATCTTCGCAGCCCTTATCCCTAGGGAGGACCACCAGCCTTCGGGTCGGCCTTCGAAAAATTCCCTCGCGTTCGTCCGTCCGTCCGCGTTCACCGCAACGCCACTTGACCCATTTCCCCGCTTCGGCGGGGCGCTCCCGGCCCAGCTTCCATGCCCGTCGCCTGTATTCTTCTGCGAGCAGCAGCACCTGTGCCGGGGTCCTCCTCACTCGGTCATATGAGGAGAACCGCATTCTGTCCATTACGGGCTTTGCCTTCGCCCGGGCACGGGCTACTGTCTCTGCAGGGACGGGCTTGCTTTCCTTGGGTCGTTCTTTCTCTGGAGCGTATACAAGCGCCGGCCCGACGGATCTGTCGGCGGCGGTCCGTATTGTATATCTCGCGCGGGTCGCGTCGTTAGTTACGTCGTGGGCGGTCGGTACCCAGCGCCACTGTGTTGGTTCTGTATGTTCGGCGCTTTCTGCCATCCGGCGGGCCGCGTGTGGATTGTATCGAGCGGTGTCGTTCCTAGTCCAATGTAGCGTCTTCTTCGAGACCGTCCATAGGAAGACTTCGGCCGCGCGACGACGTCCTTTCAGTACGTCAGCGGCCAGTCGGGGTCCTACCAGGCTCGCCTGAAGCTCCATCCGGGGTATAATCTGCGCTTTCATGGGCGCTACCCTCGCTTTGGCTGCTACCAGGACGACGTTAACGCTACGATCCTCGCGTTCCGTCCTCCAATACGCGGCTGTGGCATATGCCTGTTCGCTTGCGTCCGTGAATACGTGCAGTTGCGACCGTTGGCTGTCGTTCGTGCCATACCATCGCGGCAATCTCAGGTCCTTCGGCGTCCTCGCTCGCTGGTCCTCACTCACATTCTCTAGCAGGCTCGGTCGGTTTGTATTCCAACCCGCCAGCGTGAATCCTATCCCGCCATGAACCTCTACTACCTCTCGTATGGCGCGGGCTGCTTCCTCTTCGGAGTCAAAGCTATCGACCCAGTCGTCCATGTAGTGGTTCCTTGTTATGGCGGTGTACGCTGACGGGTGCGACTCTCGGTGCTCTGCCGCGTTCCTGTCTCGAACGCTGTGTGCGATGAACGGTGAGCTCCGATGAACGGTCGCCGAAAATCATTGAGGTCATTACGTATTTCTGCGGCGGGTTAATCCTGTCATCTCCTCGCCACAGAAACTGTTGTGCTGCTCTATCTTCTTCCCGTATCTTAATCTGCAGGAACATCTCTCGTATGTCCGCCGTGATAGCTACGGGCTTCTCGCGGAAACGGTATAACACACCGTTAAGCGATCGTAGCATATCTGGCCCATCCAGCAGTACGTCGTTCAAGCACATTCCCTTCGAACGGGCCGCGGCGTCGAATACGAGTCGCAGTTTTCCGGGTTTATTCGGATTCGTCACTCCGAAATGGGGAAGGTACCACGCGCGGTCGTTGTTGAACCGGTCGTCGGTTACTTTCTCGGCGTAACCCTTGTCCAACAACTTGTTTATCTCCGCGGTATACGCCAGCCGGAATTCCGTAGAGCGATCCATCCGCCGCTCTATTCCCCTCAGTCGGCTCGCTGCCATGTCGTAGCTGGGAGGTAGAGCGACGTTATCTCTCTCCCACGGCAATCCTACGACGTATCGCCCATCCACTCTCGTCGCTGTGCGGTTGAATGTGGCGACGGCGCGCTCCTCCTTGGCAATGGGTAATCTCTTCGACGATATACCCAACGCGTCGATGTCGTAATGCGCTTTTATTATGCCCTCTATATGCCGCATGTCTGGCTCGGCGTTGCGCTGTGTCAACCGCACGTGGAGGACATGTTCCTCGTCTTCCACGACACTTCTGGGTACCGTTCCGTGGATGACCCATCCCAGTCGTGTCAGCGACGCTGCGGGTTGATTGTGCCTTCCTGTGAGCAGCTTCCGCGTAACAATCAGATGCCAGTTGTCTGACCCGATCAAGACCTTGGGTCTGGCATCTTCGTAGCACACTTGCTCGCAAGTGAGTTGTCGCAGGTGTCCGTACGCGAGTATTTCCGGGTTCACTCGCTGCGTTCCTAGGGTGAGATCCCGGATCGTACGCGCCCTCACCGAGTGTTCTTCGTCCGTATGGTGTCGCCCTCTGATGATGACATCAGCCACTCGGCTTGAGGCTTCGTGCCAGCTCGAGGCCGCTCCCTGAATTCTCAGAGATCGCGTCGGACCTTCGGCTCCGATCTGTTCTGCGATCTCCGCATCGATGAGTGTAACCGTCGAGCCTTCATCTAGCATCGCGTACGTCTCTACTTCGCGTCCCGTCTTGCCTTTCACGATGATGGGACACACCTTTAACAACACTTGGCTGTTCTCTGGCAAGCGTGCTGCGGCTGTAATCGCGGTGTCCTCTTGCCGCTTCGGCGGCTCTTCTGGGGGGTGCAGCAGGGCGTGGTGTGGCTTACGACACTCTCTCACACCACATTTGCGTGCCTTACACTTGAACCTTCTGTGCGTGCTGTTCATGCATTGGAAGCACATCTTATTTGTTTTCGCCCACTCCCATCTGTCCGATAACGACATGTCGTTCAGCTTCTTACACTTCGGCGTTACGTGTGCGGCGCCGCAACAGAGACATTCGGTACTCTGTTCGCTCTTTTCTACGGCGGCGTATACGGCCGCGCCACGATCCGTCATCTGTCGCCGAGGTGCCGACATCGTTGCTTTCGGTATGGGTTGCCTAGTGGGTTGCTTCGGGGGCTGCTTCGTGGGTAGCGCGCTCGTTCGTCTCGTTGGTGATGCTATTCGTAGATGTCGGGTCATGAGATCGGCTTCGCTCATTAAAAACTCTGCCATCTTGATGATCGTAGGTCTAGTGTCCTCCTTGTTTTTTTCAGCGTAGTGACACCAGTGGACCTGTAAGTGAGGGGTCAGCTTCTCTGACACTTCACTCTCAAGCGCGGGATTATGTAGGAATCTCGCCCCCCTGTCGATATCCGCGACGATGGTGGTGATGTTCTGTAGTTTAATGGCGAAGTCAATCACCTCTGTTGTCGATGTTCCTATTACCGGCATCCTTCTCAGATCTTTGAGGGCGCGGTCGATGATGGCCTCTGTCCGGCCGTACCGCTGCTCCAACGTCCTCATGATCTGCGACGGTTCTGTAGCGGATACGAGTAACGCTGCGACTGTCTCTCTCGCTTTTCCACGTAAGCAGGCCCTCAGCCTGGCCAGGTTCTCCGCTGGTGTGATCCTGTACGTCTTTGTAGACTGGTCTACGGCCGCCTTAAACGCTAGCCATTCACTTGCTTCGCCGCTGAAGATCGGGAGATCTTGGGCTTGCCTCGGCGCTACCCTATCCGCTCGTTCGTCCACAGCTCGTTCAATAGCTTTGGCCAACCGGGTGAATCCTTCTTGCATCCCGGCTTCAGGAGCGGGGGACCTCCGTCTTTGCTTCGGCGTCCTCGGCGGTGAAGCTTGCCTTTCTGTTGGCTCTTTCTGCGTAGGCGGTGGGGAATTAATTCTCTGCTCCCCCCGTACTTCGGTACGTTGAAACCAATCCGTTATACGTTGCAGGCCGGCACCTTCCTCGGAGCACACGCTATCTCTATCGGTCTCTTCATGTACCGCGGCGACATCGGCTGCCAACTTCTTTCTAATTAAATCAGCCTGTAATTTCGCCATCTGTAGCGCTGCCTCGTACTCCAGCCTCTTTAATTTAGCTATACCGCTAGCGGTAGAGCGGCGCGATCGCACCGACGCGGCCCGGGCCGGACGTACATCTGTCGTCGGCGGCTGCGACGGTGGCGCCGGTGCGGAGTCCGAGGTAAACGCGGCGCGGGCGGCTTGTGCCTGTGGCGCGCTCGACGGCGCGGCGGACGCGGACATCTGCGTGGTTTCTGAAGGGGACGCTTCTGTCTGTTCATTTTCCCGCGTGGTCTTTTTCTCTGCTCCCGGGGCTTGGCTTCTCGTAGTCGGCATCGTGTTCTGGCACTTGCAAGCCCCTAACCTACCGGTCCCTACCTACCTAACCGTCCCTAACAATCCCTCAGGATAACACCCGAGGGGATGGACTATGGGGATAGGAGGGTAGGAATTACCCCGCAGTGGTGCGTATGTACAGACGGGGCGCTCAGGGCCGGTTCGGACTTTCCGACCCCTTTGGCAGTGCCTACAGTCCGGCCCCCGCTATACGATACACACGTACAGGCGTAATAGTGCTATTCGGTTGCGCCACGGTAACAAGCAACAACCGGCAGTGACACACCACCCACTGCACCGCTCAATGGCGTTAACCCACACTCCGACCGTTTGACACCGTTAGGTGGTAAGAGATGTGAGCCGCGGACACACCGCTTAGACGTTATCTATCCTATATGGCGTAGACGTTATTTATCCTATCCTCGCTGCACCCTCAAGTTTTCACCTTACGACGGCAGCTAAATTCGGTAAGCTGCTAGCGTCGCACCGTTGGGTGATCTTCCTCGGCGAGGTACGTCGCACCGTTGGGTGATCTTCCGCGGCGATTCGTCGCACCGTTGGGTGATCTTCCACGGCGATTCGTCGCACCGTTGGGTGATCTTCGGCGATTCGTTGATATGCGGCTGCGATGGACCACAAAATTGTGGGGTACACAATTAAAAGGTCTTCGATTTTCTAAATGTGTGGACTGTATTTCAATTTGTTTCTTATTCTATGGGTCGGCCGGCCGGAGTGGGGTTTTCTTGGTCGTTGCGCCGGCGGTGGTTCTTCGTCGGTGGCGTATGCGTAAGAGAGCGCGATCGTTTTTTTTTTTTTTTTTTTTTTTTTTTTTTTTCGGACTACTCTAATGCTGTTGGCCGTAGCTGGCCTTTACAGCTTCACCGGACGTTATGGGGCGAGTGCAGATGGCACTCCAAACCCGCGGAAGGACTTATGGAGCGGCTGAAGGCCAACTCCTGCCCGACGGATACGACTTTAGTCTGAGGGCACCACTAGGGGTTCGAACCTCGGCTCAGGCCGTCGTAATTTCGATCCCCGTTTGAATTGGACGGGGGATCGATCGGAGAGGCGCCCGGGGGCGCCGGTGTGGAGCGCCCGGGCGCGCGCAGGCGCCCGGTTGAATGCGCGATATTGTGTGTTTGAGGTCGTCGTCTTCGCCGGCGAGGACGGTGTCGTGTGTGTGTGTAAAAGTGTGGTCGGGGTGGAACGGGTGGGCCCGTGGGGAGGTTACCTGCCGTTATGGGGTCGTCGGGGTCAATGAGAACGTGCCTCGGGCGACGTTGTCGCGTATGTCGGATATTACTCCTCGGTGCGTAGTCGACCGCACTGACTATAAGCGGATTAGGGTGGGATTGGGCAGAGTCGAAGTAGCGTCGAGACGCTTCCTTCATAAACTGCTTGATGGAGGGCAGATTAAGATCGCGGTGGAGATCTACGCTGCGAACGAACCACGGCGCACCGGTGGCTCGACGCAGAAACCTATTCTGAATGACCTGCAGTCTGTTGATTAAGCAGTAGGGTATGTGGGCGAATACGGGACTAGCGTAGGTCATGATGGGACGGATGCAAGCCTTGTATAATGTCAGCTTGTTGCGAAGCGACATTTTACTGTGCTTGTTAATAAAAGGATAGAGTCGCCCTAGTATAGCGGCTCGGTCGCGGACACGCTTGATGTGAGGACGAAACGTTAGTTTCCTATCTAGGGTGACGCCGAGATATTTCGTTTTCGAAACCCACGGGATGTTTTGGCCGAATAGTTCGATCGGGTGATTCATAGAGTCGAATTCCCTGCTAAAGTACACTGCTGCACTTTTTTCGGGATTGACTTCTATGCGCCACCGACGGAACCATTCGCCCAGTATCGTTACGGCTTTCTGAAGCCGTCTGGCTATTGTCGCACGGGACTTGGCGGATGTAAAGAGAGCCGTGTCATCGGCAAACAGCGATATTTCGACTTTTAAGTCGGAGAATTTGGGGATGTCGTTGGTGTACAACGAGTAGAGCATCGGAGAGAGGACGGCGCCCTGAGGGACGCCGGCTCGTATGGGGTGCGGGTCGGATAACGCTCCGTTTATACGGTAGCGATAAGAGCGATTCGACAGGAAATCTCGTACAATGAGTACTAGCCTGTCGGGGACACAACGGCTTGTAAATCAAGCCGTTGTGCCAGACTTTATCGAAAGCCTTAGCCACATCGAAAAATAGGACGCCTGTACCGCCTTTGGGGGACTTGGTGGCGAAGTACAGAGTGTTTTTGTGAATGTGCTCCGTGATGCGGTGCACTTGATGGACGCATGAGTGTTTGGCTCGGAAGCCAAACTGCTCATTGATGAGCAGGCCTTTGGAGTATATAAACTCCTTTAGGCGGGCGAGGAGGATTCGCTCGTACAGCTTGCCTATAGCCTTGAGGAGGCTGATAGGACGATAACTGGACGGGTCGGATTTATTTTTACCGGGCTTGGGGATGCCAATGACCACGGCTTCTTTCCAGCTGTCTGGAAATATAGCGTTGGACAGCGCCGCGTTAAAAATAGCGACGAGTAATAACAAAAGTTGGGATGGCAGACTTTTGACTAATCTATTCGATATGCCGTCTGAGCCGGGTGATTTTTTGATAGGTAGTTGTTTAACTAGCGTTTTGACCTCATCAAGCGTGACTGGTGAGAGGGATTCGGTGGGCGGGGTGGACGCGATGCGTTCGACTTCGGTGTCTATCTTCTCGAGATGACCTGCCTCGACTGGGAGCGTGCTGGGGGAGCATTGGGCTTCTAAGTTGGACGCTAGACACTCAGCCTTGTCTTCGTCGAAGAAGGCTATAGTGTTGTCGGGTCGGACTAGCGGGGGCATGTCGTTTGTCTGTTGGTCGGTTTTGAGAGATTTCGCTATGCGCCAGTACGCGGTGTGGCATGGCGTTATCTCTTCTAGGAGCTTGCCCCACCGGCCGTCCCGGATCTGCGCGATGCGCTCCTTAACGCTACGCTGTAAGGCTCGCAGGCGCACCCGGTTCGGTTCGGAGGGGTAGCGATCGTACGCTCTAGTGGCTGCGTTCTTATCGCTTATTAACCTCCTTACGTCATCGGGGAGCTGCCAGCGACGGTCGTCCGTCGCCGGTACCTCCCTGGAGCAGTCCTTGACTGCCGACTGCAGGTGGTTAGTAAGCGAGTCGATCGCAATGAGAGTGTCCTCGGTGGACTCTATGACGTCGGGAATACGGTTTAGTATCGGTGTGTCGGTCGATTCGAGAGATTTCTCGAGTCGTTGCCAGTCTGTTATTGTTTTGGTTGGTAGTGGCGTGTCGGGCGGAGGGCCCAGAAGGAGGGTTACCGGTCGATGGTCCGAGTTAAGCTCGGCATGGACTTCTGGGGAGCTCACCCGTAGGGTTACGTTCCTCAGCAGTGCCATGTCCAGTATGTCGGGTCGGTGGTTCACGTTATGGGGATAATGAGTAGGGCGGAGCGGGGCGATTATCTCGAATTCGAGCGAGTCGGCTAGTCTGTCTAGTTTGTGGCCGTTTGTCGTGGACACGTGGCAGTTCCAGCGGGTGTGTTTACAATTCAAATCGCCAGCCAGAATGGTGGCGCTGTTGATATCTAGGAGGGCGCGTAGGTCGCTTTCCAGCAGTAGTTTGCCGGGAGGCTGATATACGGATGCCACGGCGAGCGGTCGGTGGCCGGTCATGCCGAGAAGACAGACGGAGGCCTCCATATGAGTGAGAGGCGGTGTTTGTAGCGGTATACAATGTAGGGACCGTTTATAGTATATGAGCGTACCGCCGCCTCTACAGGCGGTGCGGTCGTTCCTAACTAAGTTGTAATTGGCGATTCTAGGATCGCGGACTGAACGTTTCAGTAGGGTCTCCTGCACGAGGAGAATATCGACTTGGTGGTCAGTGAGAAAGGAGGCGATTTCCTCCTTTTTTTTTTTTAATCCGAACGCGTTAAAAAACGCTATTCGAACGGACCGAGGCTTTTCTCTCTGAGCTCGAGTACCCATAATTACAGGTTAAAATTGAGGATGGCGGTAAGTACGCCGATGTGCTCGCAGACGGCTGCGAGCCTATTTTGGGGCGACTCCTTATACAGGCGGAGCTTGGAGGCCAGAAGGGCAATCTCGTTAGGGTCGATGGTGCTGGCTAAGCGAGCGACCAATGCGAAGTCCTGCGCGAGGGAGCTGCCGTTGGCCTTGGGGGCCGCGGGCAGTGTTTTGGGGACGGGTTTGTGTATGGGCATGGGCGGGGCCGATTGGGCGGGCGGGGCCGACTGGGCGGGCGGGGCTTTCTGGGCGGGCGGGTTGGGTGCTACCTTGCTTACAATTGCCGGGGGTTTAATCCAGGCATTGTTAGCAGGCAGAGGGGCGGGTACGAGTGGCTCGGGTTGTGTTTGAGCCTTGGCGGGGGCACGTGCCGGAGCACGGTTGCCCTGGGTGTGGGTGGCCTTCTTTTTGGCGGGACGTGGGGCGCGTGAACAACCGCGGTAATTCGCGGTGTGACCCTCTGTGAGGCAGAGGGTGCAACTGGGGGGCGTGGGGGTGTTGGGCCTACGGCCGCAATCTGCGGTGGCGTGATCGCCTAGGCACTTGACGCACCGTGGGCGAGCGAAACAATTACGGGCAGAGTGCCCGTAGTTCTGACAACGGTGGCATTGTCCGGGGTAGGTACGCTTGCGAGGCGCCTCTACGGAGAGCGAGGATAGTTGGCAAACGCTCTTTATATCAAAGATCGATTTGCCTTCTGGGGATAAATCTAATACGACTAGAACAAGGTCGATAGCGGCCTTGTTGCGTGAGCGCGACTGGTACATACGATGTACCTCGTGCGCTGGGTAATTCTGGGACTGAAGGTCCTCAAGGATGGAGTCTGTTGAGAGCTCCTTGGGTAAACCGCGTATTACAACGCGGAGCTTTTTTCTCTTCCTCGAGAGCATAGGTGTGATAACCTATGTTTTTCTCCCGCAGGAAGGTGGTGAGACGACGATGGTCGTCAGATGATGGGACTGATACTTTGATCCCTATTGAGGTAGCCTTAGCATGGCTGAAATTGATATGCTTGTTTTTAAGCATATTGGATACGGTGTTCCAGGCACTTTTGTCCTGGATGATGACGGGGGGCGGGGCTTTGGTCTCGGGGTGCGACTTGCGTGCACTCGGACCGGGGGCGGTTTTAGCGGTGCCGTCATGGGCACGCTTTGTTTTGGCTGGCTGGGAGCCCTGGGTCTTCTTGGCACGCTTGTTGCCAACAAGAATAAAATCGTCCTCGTCTGAGGAGACCGGGGGGATGGGAGAGGGGACGTCGCCGTCGCGGATGGCGTCGAGCTCCATACTAGGAGCGTCAAGCTCCGCGACGGAGTCGTCCTGCTCCATGGCGGGCGAGGCGGGTTCGGCCTGGTCGGCTTGGGTCGGGGGAAGCGGCGGGAGCCGTTGCGAGTCGTCCTCGAATTCGTCAGTGTCAGTGTTCGGTTCGTCAGTGTGAGTCATCATTGGGGACGCGGGGGGCGAGCTGTACACTAAGTGGACGGGCTTGGCGGCTTTGAATGCTATAAAAGCATTTAAGATGCCGGGACACTTTTTTTCCAGGAACTGGAAGAACAGAGGCATATCGGCCTCTGATAAGGACATTTTTTTGAACAGTGGTAATGTTAATTACCACTGTTCAAAAGAATAGAATAAGAGTAGAAATAGTAATATAAAACAATACAATAACAATACAACACAATAACAATACAATACAATGAAACAATAGGGTAAGTCAGTACTTAAGATAAGGACGGTCGTCGGCGGGTGCAGCCGACGGTGTCAGCGGGGGCCTCCCTGCCGGGTGAGGCAGGGGGGTGAGTGCCTATTGATATGTGACCCTAATATGTAAGATCACTAATCTTATTGAGTGAAAAATGTGTACCTAAGCGAACCTACTTGGTGGCGTCGGTGGCGGGCGGCAGGCAGCAGGCGTCGGCGGGTGTTGGTGGCAGCGGCGGCGGCTCGGATCGGCGCGTCGCGCAATAGGCGTGACGCACCTCCCTAACTCACGACAGTCCGTGCCACTGAACGTCCACACACAACACTTCACTTCACTTGAACGAAGAGAGTTTCTCCTTCAGTCCTCACAACACAACACTACACACGCGGAAAGTCCGGTAGCACTGTGTCGGAACGGATGCCGAGAGCGCGGTCGGCCGCGGTCGGCGCGGTCGGCGCGGGACACGGAGGCCCCGGGCCACGCTAGGTGCACCGAGTGCACCTAACACGCGGCGAAGTATATGAATAAGAACGCGCGAACGTAACTGCGCTACGTGCGCGCGCGCGGTGGTTTGCTCGAGGGAGCAGAGAACAGCGAGACGGCGGCGGGACTAGCGAGCACATACGTGCGTTCGCTAGCGCGTCGGTCAGCGGAGTGAGCGAGAGCGCGATCGAGAACCAACCCGCCTTTTACGGGCGCCCGAGCGCGTCCTTCCCCACCCCCGCCGAGCTGTGCGCGTCGGCCGTCCCACCCTCCCGACAATTCCTGCACATGTCGGTGACCGACGGGCCGGAACAGCGAATACGCACACATTTAAAATTAAATACAATAGTAACAATACAAAAAACTACAAAAAACCACGTGCGACTAAATGCCACATGTTCAGGCTACACTAAAGCTGTGATCCCTAAGAATTTACACAATGGGCGGGCATAGAATTCACAGTATCTATGCCGCTACAAAGGGTATATGGTACAAACAATAGTCTAACCTAAACAATAGTCAAAACACTGGAAAAATACAAATTTATACACAAAATTTATTTACATATTTTCGATGCCGACTCGTGGTCCGCAACAAATATCGTGTTGTAATACCAAATAAATTACAACAACAAATATTATCTGAAATACATGAAGGTCATTTAGGGGTGATAAAAATGAAGTCGATCGCCAGACATTATGTGTATTGGCCTGAAATAGACACCGATATAGAGGGATTAGGGCGCGAGTGCGAGGCTTGTCGAATCGTTCGAGACGCACCACCACGTTCATCGTTGCATCCGTGGGAGTTCCCGACAGCTCCATGGCAACGATTACATGCCGATTTTGCCCAATTGAATGGCAAGTATTATATTATAATAGTGGATGCCAATTCGAAATGGTTGGATGCTGCATTAATACGTAGTACCTCCGCTATTGACACTATTCAGTATTTTCGTAAGTTATTTTCAATATTTGGGTTACCAGTACAGCTAGTCACAGATAATGGTCCCCCTTTTCAGAGTCACGAATTTAACGATTTCTGTAAGAAAAATACAATTAGACATACCACTGCATCACCACATAGGCCACAAGGCAACGGAGCGGCAGAGAATGCTGTAAAAACCATAAAAAAGACTCTGAAGAAAGCCATCTATGAAGGTCAGGATGTGACGTCAGCTTTGTGTCGATTTCTTTTTCAGTATAGAAACTGTGAACACGCTACTACAGGTGTAGCTCCGGCGGTCGCATTACTAGGTCGTCGACTACGTACTAGGTTAGACGCGGTGCGACCTAATACTAGCGATATTGTTAGACAGGCGCAAGACAAACAGGTAGCGGAAGCTGGGGGAATGGATAGAACTTTCGAAGTTGGAGAAAGCGTAATAGCTCGAGACTATTCCTCCCGTGGGGACAAATGGACAGAAGGCCAAATAACATCCAAAACGGGGCCGGTTTCTTATACAGTACAGTTAAACACGGGAAACGCTTGTCGTAGACATTCTGACCAATTATGGCCTTTAAAACGAAATAGACTTTCAACGCCCCATTTAAGTAATAATGAGTTGTCAGACTATGACAATCAATCAAGACGTAGTTATGATAATCAACAAAGACAAGAGCCGGATGATAAAAATTTAAAGAGTCCCATGACAGGTAAAAATGAAAAAGGGGAAGAGAAAGATGTTATGAATTCACCTAATATTAAAGAGTGTGAACAACTGTCACCAACAAATCAATGTAGTGATCGAGCTAGGCGCGCACTTGAAAGAGAATTACGTAAACAAGGGATAGAGAAATGAGTTCGATCGTATGAGTTACATGATTATAATATGTATAAAACTACTGTACTGTATGTTGTCATTATTCTGTTTTCTGTACTTAAGTTATATAGTTAAGTTATATAGATAGTACCGATAGGTTATATATATAGTATAGATGATATCTTATACGACTTACGTTACTTGTATGTTATAACTTATGTATCAATAAAGTATTTTTATCGATATGTATTATCTGAGTAATTTGTAGCTTCTTTAGATAGATAGAAAATATATTGTTCTAGATAGGGTATTAGAGTATGTATACCCGATTTGTTATTATTTACTTATTTACCTTTATTTGTTTTTTATAATACAAAAAGTATGTAGAAACTCTTATATAAAAATGTTATTGTTTTGATTTATGTGTGGAGAAATGTAGGGTAGTTTAATAATTAGTATTAAGACGGTGGATGGTATTTGGTTTCTTTTTCAATAAACAGTTAGCAACCGACCGTGTTGTTTCACTGACGCTGCAGTTATGATGATTATATTAATCTATTACTCACTATCCACCAAAGAGTCCAAAATAATCCGTAGCGAAAGCGAAAGGTGTAGACCATAAACAATTAAGGTAGCCACTCAATACACCTGCTCGTTGGAAAACTATGAGGCCGTATTCGGCAAACTTTTTGTATTCAAGGTAAACCTACAAAATCAAAATGTTTTAGAGGTACAACAAGTAATCTTAATGTTATTATTATTATACTATGTTAGTATGGATTGCTGTTTATTACTCTTCGCTTTCTGTAAATTAAACTGGACAGCGCTTATCACTGTTTCTTGAGTTAATTGGATATGTAATGTATACTATAATCTGAGTATTTAAAAGTTTAAAATAAAAAGTATTGGCTTGGAGATAGAAAGATATTGATCAGAAAAATGTAACCTTTATCCTAAAAAAATATTTAATTTGTATATAATGTGCTTATTAAGACTCTAATAAAAATAATAGTTATTGGTTATATTTTATTGTATCTATTTATTAATGAAATATATATAGTCAATGGCATGATATTTTTTATGTAGGAACCAAAAAAATATATAAATCTTATTATTATTAATATTATGATGTTTTGTTACTCTTTCACGCAGAAATGATTTTGTTGAAATTTTACAGTAATGTCAGAATAACATATAGCTAAAAACTTCAAGCGGATGAAACCACAGACACAGCTGATAAAATATATCGCTATTAAGAAATATGCACTTCCTTAATTGAGCCACATTTTATAGAGCAAAATATAGTAAAGCTGCTCCTTTGTTATCATAGACCAACCTCGACACATATGTACTGCGGCACATTCGGTTGGCCTTGGGACACATAATCATTAATACCTATACGTACGGTATTTATATTATAATAATAAGTAATGCAGTAAACCATCGACTTTACTTGCCAACTGGCGTGCTTTAAGAGACAAAATGTAGGTATGTAAGTTGTAATAAAACATAAATTTTGTTTTTATTTTTTTTTTTCGGCCTATTCTAATGTTGTTGGCCGCAGCTGGTCTTTGCAGCTTCAGCGGACGATAGGGAGCAAGTGCAGATGGCATTCGAAACCCGTCCGTTCTATAGTCTTGCATAACATTACAGGTAATATTATTAGCCATGGAATATACAGTTCTATACCGCTTGTAATGTAGTGTTGCCATGTAAGTTGATTTGACACCCCTTCCCTTTTAGTGGGCACATTTTATTTCTGTACTAAAGAAGAGTAAATGTTATCGTTTTTTTTAAAAAGTTTATTTGTAGAATTCAGTCTATATTTGTTCGTACCTAGCAAAATTAAATGACTACGTAATTTTTTTATATATTTAATGTTTGTGTAATTTAATGTTTTCATATTTTAAGAATTGATGGATTGCTGCTCTTTGCACGGTTGCACCTAGTGGACTTGCACAATCTTCGTTGGCAACACTTATTTCCAAGTAGGTATGAAATTTGACTAATATTGAATATCACATCTCCGCACGCTGCGTTGCGCTGCTCTTGAAGTTGTTTAATTTTGAAGACTATTCGGTATTATAACTGGATTGGAACTTTGCGGTAAGTCTATTTGCTCTTGATTTGCACCAAATTTATTTATAAAAATGCATTCTGAATAATCACAATTGATCGAACTACCGAGCTACTTATTTACATATCGGCGTGCTTAGAAAAAGCCGACTACAGGGCGAAATGGCCAATTGATGCGTTACTTACTAATATAACAATTTTTTTAGTTACTCTCAGATACATATTTCCATCTTCACGACACGAGACTGGTACTAAGTACAGTGGAGCCCCGGTTATACACCAAACGTTTTGCAGGGCAGTGTCGGACAATCGAATTTGTCGGAATATAGAGGGGGCCTAAGCGATACCCTGTAATTCAGATTTTTTTAAAAAAGAGAACCTTGTAATCCGACAAATAACAGATCCAGTGATACGATTCTACTAAAAGTAAAAAACTACTAAAAGATTCGTTACGATTTAGGCGGTCTAAAATCACATTTTTCTTTAATTCTCAGTGTTTTGTGTTTTCGCTTCTGAGCTGATACGTATACGTGTGAATAAATAGTAAACAATGAACACATGCTATACTGCACGGCTATCTTCACATGTAAGCAGTCAAATTCAAACTAAGCAATCATAATCAAAACAATACCCTACGCGTCGAGTACAAAAGTCATGATTCGTACAAGTTCAAACAATCATGTATTAGCGAAGATTGTCAAAAAAATATTCAATAATAAATAATAGACCATGTTACAAGGGGGACCGGATTATATATAAAGGCAACGTAACAAACTTTGAATGTTATATTAATTTATATTTAAACTAAAAATATTTTACACTTAATGTATAAAATAATGCAGTTTATTCAAGAGTGGTGTTTAATTAGTCGTATTTTTCTACGAGCTTGTGGCATGATTAGGGCCTACCTATTACCTACTTACCTATTAGTGATACCTATCAACCTATTAGAGATATTTTAGAAAAGAGTGAAATTATGTCTATAGCACAGTACAAAACAAAATTCTTGTATTTGGAATATACTTAAAAACAATGGCAAAAATATTAGAGAAATATATTTTTAATACGAATATTGTTTTATTTTTGTTCATCAACTTTATCCCTCACTAACAATACTAGTACATAACCTGGTAATTTAACACCGCTAAAGATATAGATAGATGTTATTATTGTAGATATCGAAAGTTATACAAGTAATTCTGAATGTTATCAAGTTCAAAATAAGCACACATTACTGGCTTAGATAATAAAGTAATATTACTTGTAATAAAAACATTTGTGACACCCATATGTATACATATTACATAGTAAGTACTTACGCCCGCGCCGTGAGACTCATCTAAGCGTACAGCGCATGCGCGTCGTGCGGTAACCGCACCGACCGACCAATAGGAGCGCGCCCTCTCGCGCTTCCAGAAAGTTCGCGACTAATGGACGGTATAGTAGTAAGGCAATGAGTGTTTTATTGTAATATACACAATTTCGTACTGAGTAACGTGTTCCCCCGTTACACATTTCTATAATAGTAATGAAAAACCTAGACCGACCCTGTTCACTTCATCTAGGATTGAAGTTATTAAGCTTAATTAATATTCCTTCTTTTGAAACCGAATTTCATTTCATTATTGATATAAATTAACTGACCCGGCAAACCTTGTTTTGCCTTATAAATTAACTAGCTGTACCCGCGACTTCGTCCGTTTGGACTCGAAAAATCCAAAGAAAAAAGTTTGATCGTACTAGTTTTGAAAATGACGAATTTCTTCATCATCTTCAACCTTCATCTTATATTTCATTTTACCCTCTTAAGGATAAAATTTTACAAACTTAGAATGTCATATTTGTTTATATTTAGTCAGCAGCCTAAAAAATATTATTAATTAAATTATAAGATTATACATTAAAGCTTTAGCTTACAAGATCTGACATTAAAAATGACGATATTTTCATATAGCCTTTCATTTCCCCTTTCAACCCTTTTTCGCATTAAAAAGTAGCCTTTCTCACGGTCTACATTATCTGTGTACCAAATTTCAATTAAATAAGTTCAGTAGTTTTGGCGTGAAAGCGAGACAAACAGACAGACTGAGTTACTTTAGCATTTATAATATTTGTAAGAATATCGCTATTAAAAATAGGGGTTGGTTCGTGTATGTATTTTTAATGTAACATTATAAATAAATAAAAAATTGTCCAAAATACAAAAAAAAAATTCAGGGTAGGCCACCCCTATGACTTAGGGGTATAAAAAATAGATAACAACCCTACCTCAGACCTAGCAAGTATACATATCAAATTTCATCGAAATGTGGGAGAAATATGGCAACTAACACTGTGATATGAAATTTATATATAAGATATAGCGGAATTCTCATTAGGGAAAAGAGGGGTACATCGTAGAATACAGGAGGTATAGGTATACCAGTAAATTAATTGTAGCTAAAATCAGTCTATTACACATAACGATTGAAATAAAAAATCGTATAGCCCGATTTTGCTACGTACGAGTATAAACGTATCAAAATCGGGGTATACATATAGCGCAAACGCGTTACAACATAATATCTTCGTCGAAAGAAAAAAATAGGCATGGAATGTAAAATAAACTACAACATAATATATACATTGGCACATAAGCCATATCTGCAGAGTGTCGGCTAACGATATTATACCTACACATTTAAATTGAATCTTGAATCGTCCCTATTCAGGTACACGATACAGTTACCTACATATCTATTATAAACCTATCTTTGCAAAACAGATGTCATGTAGACTGAATTGACTGCCATCTATTTTCGTGCTTTGTTACTAAGCACCCACTAGTAATGCGAACTGCTTCAGATCTAGAGTCATCTAGCGGCTACGGCGGCGAAATAAAATAGCCCGAAGAATGGCCCGAGTCAGGAAGGAACCATTTTCTTGTATGGGATGGGGTATCTGTATGTAATATTATGTTATCTGTGGTTTGACCTGCACCTTCTTCAAAGATCTTTCGATACACATTTTAAACAATGCTTTCTGAATTATTTCACTTTCGTGGAAGATTTCTTAAAAACAACAAATCCCAACAAACACACGTAATACCACTTGACAGATGACGTGCAGTATTACCATATCAAAATCAATCTTTATTTTACTTTTGAATACACATTAATAAGGTACTGTTATATTTTTCCGTTACGAACCTACATATACAACAGGTATGTGGTGGATAATTTTGTATGTATTATATATTTGTATGTCGGTTCTTTGTTTGCAGAAAGGTATTGCATCTACTCTATAACTATGTAAAATAAATCGATGCAAAAAAGAGTAAAATAAAATCGTATCTTTTTTTTCATGTCAAATTAACAACTCAAATTATATGCATACTTTTTATAGTAAAAAAGTGGCTTTTAACTGGCCAACAATACAGTATGAAGTCCACAACAAGGTATATTACACGACACATAAGAAAAGGTCGATGTCAAATTATATATAATATTGTTAATTAGCAAATCAGCAAAGCCACGCTTGTTTCTGTGCTGTTACCAATGTAATCTAAGTTCTATATGCTGTTATGTTAGTACTGGCACGGTACACTCAATGGAAAATTATGCGTCAACGATATTGCTTTGTTTCCTGTCTACTATTATTCCTATAAGATTGCTTTTGTAGACATATATCAAATAAAATTACATTCAACTTAGATGCTGTTTTACCCAAAAACCCTACATGTTATCACAATATAACTTAATAATGTTCAAACTTGTAATTTAAATTAATTATGATCGAATTTCGAGCACCACTGTATATGTATACCTATGTACATAATGTATATAGAAAACACGAAAACTAACAATCATACTCATAATGTTAATTATCGTGTGAGGCACCATTAATTGAAAATGGTAAATCAATTATCATGTTCCTTTATCTAAGGCACTCAGAGTAACCTGAAACGGAATGACAGAGGCCAGAGCCTCTTTGTGACATTGACAAGTTGATTGATGGATGGATTGGACTGACGTAGCAGGAGTTTGGAGCGAAATGGTTAAGAGTGCTGAAAAGGAAAAACCGTGCGAGGAATCGAACCCGCGATCATCGGAACTAAGGCGGTATGCTAAACCGCTACCTTAATATAGACCTTATGCTTGGTAACTTTAAAGTTCATTTCGATTTTTAGTATTTTGTAGCAAGATCACTTGATGACGGTGTTTTATTTATTAGACACCCTGTACGGGAGTCGACCGGATCGTAGGTACTTACTATAGGTACTTACTAATGTTCATTCTCGTTCCCAGATCCACAATGTGTTACGCCGGAAAATGTTGCTACTTTATGAAGGTAGAGACTGGATCTATGATATTCGCTGTTATCAATATGGTTAGTATAATTTAGAAAAAACATTTACGTTTTGTAGCGCACTTACAAGCCGAAACCAAGTGTGTAGTGTGTAAGCGTAAATGCGATTGCGTGTGTGATACGTGTGAAAAAGCCGCCAGCGGTGCCTCATAAACCCCATACTCTGTAACTTCACTCACATTCCGAACCTAAACACTGCTTACAAAGCAAGCTGTTTGTAGACTGAAACAGTTCGGACAGAGGTATGTACGCAGACGACTAAGTATAAACACGTTCTAAGTATTGCCACTCTTAAAACTTTTAACATTGTACAAAGAAATTAAAAAAAAAACACGTAAGTATACATAGTCTATCCATAAATATCTGTCATTGTTTTAAAATAGGTATTAATTGTATTTTCTCAATTTCGCGCTAATCGGTTGTTAAATATTTTTGTGATTTTAAAATGGTGTATGGATAATGAGAACCGAATCGCTGTGATTGCATTACATAAAGTAGGTATGGAGCCAAATTCAATTTAGAAACTCTTCAACCGCAAATAATGTCATATTTTGACTGAGGGTCGGACGGTATGGACATATCATTATTCAAATAAACTTAATATAAGCACTTTTATATAATAGTCATATTCGGAACGCGGACTCATCACAAGATGAATGAACAAGAAACTTGCGTTACTTTTAAATATATGTTGTTCTAAGTAAATACAAACATCTAAACATCATATTAATGAGCAAAGCCTACTATTACTCACTAAACGATTACTTGAATGACGAGCATGCATGGCAATAGTCGTTCATGCACGGGATTATCATTTAATATTAGATATATATATATAATATATATATATATATATATATATTATTATTATATATAACACCTATATGAGTAAACCTTGTAAATAAACAGGCTTTTAAAAAAATAAGACATTTAATTGAGTATCTTGCCAGTTCATAGTCATCATATTAACTTAATAAGGTTTTGCGCGATTTTGTTCAATGCATTCACTGTCAGAAAGAACATAAAATCCACGTCAATCAATTCAAGAAACAACAGAAATGAAATACTTGTTTCACAGTTATTTCTATGCGAGGACCGTAATTTATTTAAGGGGGTCTTCCTATGTGATGGGTTGAAAAAATCGATTTTTTTTTTTTCATAAATTGCTCCCTTAACATGTCTAGAATACGGTAGTAAAATTTTTTTTTCGGCGATTTTAGAAAATTCGAAGTCGTTTTAAAGATACAGCAGGTAAAAGAAAGAGCGGTTCGGAGCGGTGAGTTGGCAGTTAGAGACCGGGCCTATTGTGTACCGTCGGCTTTATACCTGGCCTCCCTTTTATTAATATATTTGTTTATACAAGTTTAGACACGTTTCTACAGACTTAAAAAGAATAAAACCAATAAAGGAATAGGAGGAAAAGGAGCAGGTAAACTTACTGATAACGTTATCCAAGAAATTACAAAATTCTACGGATTAGCAATTCGACGCCATCCAGATTCGCTTGAAGATATGAGAAAGGAAGTTTGGGCAACGTACTATCACAAATGTTCTTCTGATGAAAACCCTCAGCATCAATTTTGTCCAGAAGGCGAAGACAGTTGGTGTAAATGGCGTAAGGCTGAAGCTAATAATGAACTGGACCAATTTCATCACGATAAACCACCTCTAATTCCGCAAGTCCAAGAAGCTATCAAACCGGTTTTCGAAGATTTATCGAAAGACGAATTATTAATTCGTTGTTTAGGAGCAGAGACACAAAACAATAACGAATCTTTGAATTCTTTGATTTGGACTTTCGCTCCTAAACATCTTCATTCTGGTCCCAAAGTTGTTGAAATTGCTAGCTACTTAGCAGTTATTATCTTTAATGAAGGTTTTCAAGGTATTTTAAAAGTTATGTCGATTATGGGATGCCCTGTTGGTCGTGAAGCCCAAGCGTATGTTATGAAAAGCGAATCTTACGCTCTGAGCGGCGCGTAAGTGATGTCGTTAAACAAGCCAGGATTGACTCAAGAGCTGAACAATCTGCTTTAAAAGAGTTTCACGAGGAAGAGGAAGGAATACTCTATGGACCAGGCATCGCCGATTGAGAGTAAGTTGATATTTTAATAGTTTTTAACGGACTTGAAACTTTAAACGCGTTTTTCTCAAAACGGTGTTTTTCAAACTTTCCTCCATTGTATCTCAGAAACGGCTGGACCGAATTACTTGAAATTTACAGGGCACACTCAATATATGTAAACGCATGGAATGAACTATTATCAATAGAAAATTTTCAAAACTTCGATTTTTTTATAGCAAAAAAAAAAAAAAAAAAAACGCCTAATTTGCAACTTTTATTTCAAATGTCTATCAAAAATCCAATTTTTTTTATATTCATTTGATTATAGGTCATTCCGTGCTTTTAAGCCTACAAATTAAAACGCCGTTTTTTTTTTTTTTTCAGATAAGCCGATCAGCCGGAATCGTGGAGGAAGTGGGAGCTCTTTTTTTCGAGGCGGGGGTGTTCAGAGCGCTGTAACTCTAGTTTGACTGAATATTTTTAGCTGAAATTTTATATTTATACTGTCCAAATATGTGTTAATAAATGATAAAAAACTTGAAGCTCTAAATATATACTGGTCGTAGAAAAAAATCCTAAAATATCCCTAAAAAACAGGCCGTCACATAGGAAGACCCCCTTAAAAAAACGTACCAAATGAAGAACTATAGAAGATTTTAAATAAATGACTACTTATAAAAATCTAGTACAAAATTGTACGAGGATTTTGACTTGGTATCAAAACCCAAGAATCCCGTACCCGCTGGATATATTATTATATACTGGAGTCTAATTTAATTGTCACTATCAATCCAATTTAATTTTATTTCTACCATTTTTTTTAAGACGATGATTGATTTTTTAAGACTGAACCTAATAAATTGATTACTGTGTTTGTTTTTTTAATTAATAAAAATGGAATGGAGCATCCGCCTGCTCGATAAAGATTTACGCTGGCGGGAAAACCTGTGTAAGAAAAGAAGATGAGCATGAGGTCATGTCAGTTAACTCATCGTGGCAAATTCACCAGGAATGTATCATGATGTTTTCCAGGGGGCACCGCGTTCATTAGTCCACTTTACAACGGATACCCTCCCCTTTCTTTAACCATAAAATATCTAATTAATACATATCTATTTAATACACTACCACAGTATTGCATATTATTTAATATTAATCGGACCAATGAAATGGCAATTATTCGGAATTAGTTCCTGTCAGGAGTAGACAGGTTGTAGTAGGTTAAACTACCTTACCTATAAAGTAGAATAGACGACTCACAACATTTATTTTTTACAGATTATCAATTCTATACTCGCCATCGGTATTATTGCAGCCCTGGTATGGTATGAAATTCATTATTATCAAGCTCTACATCGCACTGATTACAATATTGTGAACAACGTTTACCAGAATACACACGAAGCTGCAAGGTTATACCAGCTGTATATTTATAGAAACATAATTTTAGGTGTAAGCCTGATGTTGAGCTTGATATATTTCGCATTTTCTGTATTGTTGCTCAACGGATTAATAAAGGTAAGCGTTATTTATACATCTTTACATATAAATAAAATTGGAGTGTATGTTTGTATGTATATCATACTTTTGATTGATAGGTATATTTTATATTTCCACCGATCCGTGCTTCTCATCTTAATTCAAAATATTTTGTTACATTTTACTACTTTCCTTCTTTTACCTTTAAGTTATAATTATAAATTCAATTTCAATTCATTCATTTCAATGTAAATCTGAATAATGAACACAAATAGTTACATTTGTGTTCAATATTCAGATTTACATTGAAATTGATAAATTATTTATAGGCTATTTTATTTAGTTGCTTTTTTCTAAAATTAATATTCTTAAAATGGAACTTTTTGCACACTCTATATAGGTCTACCAGAATCTGATGGAAAAAAAATATGTCTGTCAACTGAAATTTCGAGGAATTTTATTTGGTTTGATTTCAAATTTCTTTTGAAAAGTGGCGAAAATATCGAAGAAACCTCTTCGATCGCAAGCAAGAATTATTATTAATAATAATAATAATAATATATTTATTTGTCAGAATATGGTATGTACAATGGTGGTAAGTATATATTATTGTTTTAAATGTTCATCAAAGAATACTTGATGAACAAGGTGCAGAACAAACAAGTGTGCGCGTGTGCAAGCCTTGACTGGTTAGTTGGAATGACACGGCCTGATACTATGGTTAATTGCATTTTTCGTGTGTATTATATAGTATGTATATACTAAACTTTGTTTTATTTCAGGGGTTTCTAATACTACCATAAGACGAATTGTTGATGAAGGCAGATCTAACAAAGGCGTATATAGTACGCCCGGTAAAAAGAGGAAAGGTGGCAAAAATAAATTAAATTGGATAGTATTGATTTACAATTGATCAGAAACAAGATAAATGAGTTTTACACTCTACGAAAACAAATACCCACTATCATGAAATTGCTACAAATTCTTCGGGAGGAAATCAATTTCAATGGAGGAAGAGAATCATTAAGGTAACAAAAATTAATTTCATTTTCTTTCGGTTTGAATATAATCTAAAAACATAGTAATTTAAAAATAACAATCTTATTTTGTCTTCAGACTTACTTTGAAAGATATCGGATTCGAATTCGTGAAGTGCCAATCAAAAAGGACTATTTTAATGGAACGACATGACATAAAGATTCAAGTATTTGGAAGCCGATGATAAGCTAGATGTAGTTTATTTAGATGAAACCTACATACACGGTTCATGTTCAGTGACAAATGCTGGCAAAATAAAGATATTGCAGGCCCATCTAAAAGTATTTCGGTAGGGCCTAGATGGATCATTGTACATGCTTGTGGAGAAAATGGTTTTGTGCCAAACTGTTGTTTGGTGTATAGGTCGAACAGTACCTATATGATATGAATGATATGATATGAATAAGGATAACTTTACAAAATGGGTTACGGAGAAGTTGATACCCAACCTTACAAAATCTTCTCTAATTGTCATGGACTGTCCAAGTACCATTTTGTTGGCTCATAGCTTCAATCATACAATATCATTTACGACGATAATTGTCGTAAATATCAATTACTGAAAGCACTGAAAAATCATAAGTTTGAACCTACATATGAGATAGATGAGATTTTAATATCGCACGGCCACGAAGTCTTGAGGCTCCCACCATATCATTGTACGTTAAACCCCATAAAATAAATCAGGGGAATAATGAAACAAAAAGTTGCAGATAAAACGTCAATAGACCTGCAAGTGACATAAAATCTTTAATAGTAGAAGCTCTCTCAAATAGGGATCGATGAATGGCAAAAATCTTGTCAACATAAAAAATGAAAATTAGTTCATAGAACAAGATCGATTAACTGAGATGCAGGAGGAAAGGTTTATCATAAATACTGCGTCTTCTTCGTCTTCCCCTTCCAATGAAGACTATTGTATGGATGTGCAGTATTTGGAACCATTTTCAAGTTCTGATAACCTATAATTAATTAATAAACTCATGAACAGAACAATTGAAGTTTTCATCTAAATTTCGAACCCCACATTCGTCACACTAAGATTATCAATAATTATCCTTGATTATTGGATAATTTTTTATATTTGCATGTATCACACACACAATCAGCCGTTATAAGGAAAAAAAGTACATAGATTTAAAAAGACACATACATAGATTTAAAAATAATGATATTATAAATTTTCAGACAAAATCCGGGCAAGTGAAGGTCTATTTCATATTTGGTGTCATCATAAATGTGTTGAGCTACGCACTAATCATATATGAACCGGCTGTAATAACTGTTTCAGGTAAGTATTTTATTACCACTTTCATATTTACACTAGCGGGTCGTCCCAGCCTCGCATGGATGAAGTAAAGCATAATAGGTATATACCTAAGTTTCTTGTATCACCTGAAAGTCCATAAGTATAGAGAATAGCGGCCTTTTTCGTTCGACTGCAATAACGTAACCATTAATAAATTACTTTACAAGAATTTAAGAATGCATTATACTTTAGTGCACTCTTTTTAGAAATAATAATAAAAATAATCTTTGTAAATATGAACATTTTTGAATAGTCTACTATACTTCTATTTTAGTTGTTTACAATGTGGCATTGAAAAATATATACAACCCTAATTTTTACCCTTCTATCCCTATTTTAAAAACAACTAGTTGTCCCAAAATAAAACCATTTTGGGACAAATAGTTGTTTTTAAAATCTGGTTATAATATTTTTAAAATGAATTATGATTTCCAGTGTCCTACACCCTGTTGCTCGTGATGATTTATATGACGTACAACAAAATGGAGGCTAACAAATACTGTGGAACGGTATTAGATGACTGTTCGGTCCTCGTCTCAGCTTAAATTACTATTGTACTAATTGTTTATTTTATGTTAACAGTTCTATGATATAACGTAAGGTTATTTTCATAGTCCAAGTGGGAACTCTAACAACAAGAACACGAAATACGAAAATATTTTATAATATTATATTGTTAATTTATTTCACTGTTATTTTCACGTGTTAACATGATTGGGAAGTGCGGGATATACAGCACCCATAATTATCTTAATACTATTATGTAATATTATCTTGTCTATGATATTATTAATGAAAATATTAATTGACAAAGAATAATTCAATATGATTAGTATTACGCAAAATTGTATAGTTAATCTTCTTAAAAAAAATGTCTCATAGATGGCTTTATTAAAGAACCAGTCCATATAAAATTTTAGTCAAGCTTCCGACTCGAGTCACAGAAAGACTAACTTCTAAGCACGTGTAACATGTTCTTGTTTTTAGCAAAACCTCTATATATAAGTTTACTATAATCTAAGATTTGGTGTTTTGTAGCGAAAACAATACCCGATAAGTATTTTAAATGTGTTTGCATAAACATTATTATTTTTATATTATAGTAAAGACTCTTGTAATAAATAATTAGTTTACATTCTTCACCTACTCCAATGAAAATATCTGACCCATATATAACTACTATACATTCATTTAAAATGGCTGTATTTCAGTACGGGAAAAGTCCTACGCCAGTGAAGCTGTACCTCGCATCATTTGGGGATTAGTAATTTTATTCTAGTTTCAAGTAATTAGAATGCCTTAGTTTATAGAAAGTGGCAACCTCTTCTTATGAACAGCACTACAAATATCACTTTACTCTGCGCACGCAGTATTCCTCATGCGTTCCCATTCCTGGAGGATTTTTGTACAAAGTCTACAAATACACTATTGGTTAGCTGAGGTTAATAATATATTTCCCTAATACATAGATATATACATATTGAGTAGCATGGGTCAAGGTTAACAATAACTTTCCTAACTTGCTACATTATTGCAGTCTAGACACACACAGTCTAGGTTCTAAACGAGTAATAATCGCTACAATGAGAATTATACATTATGTCATATATATTTCAGTCTCAAATTGTTCAACTACAGCTGATAATATTCCTATTATATTATATTTATTTATACAGGAAAAGTATTTAATTAGCTTTTGCTGCAGACAAACTGCTTAGCAGTTTTGCGGCTTATTGTTTTGTATTATGTTGTATAAATTTATGTGTAAATAAATTAAAATACAATAAAATGTAATTCCTGTAATTTTACTACAATTCATCCAAAAGTTCTCCTTTTGGATGTGTTTTGGTTTAAGAATAATTTATCTATTTTAATAAGATAGAGCGGTGAGTTTAGGGTATTGGACAGGACATGTTAATCCTCCAGAATAGCAACTCAAATCTAGACACGCGGTAGCGTGTCAAGCCGAGTTTCAAGTAAACTGGCGAGCAGCACCGTGTGTATATTTACACGAACCATTTGGAGCCACTTTTGACCCCCTCATAACTCAAAAACTCTTTCACATAAACCTGTCAAATTTGGTTCATATATTGAGACTTGCGAGATAAATATGTATTCCAAATTTCATAAACACGGTTAATTAGATATTAATGTCAAAAAATCGCCATTTTTATCACTGATCAACTATAGATCAAAATTATAACCCACTTCCAGATGACCTAGGAAGTTCAAATTTGGCATGCAGATAGGTAATTAGGTGAATATAAAGGATAAAATCTGAAACTGGTAAATTGTTATCATTTTACTATAATTTTTCACTTTAATTGATTCTATTTCAACTTATACTGGACGAATACTAAAATTCTATGAAAACGTCGATATCCACCAATTGACATTGATCCCTGGCAAAATAGCTCATCTTGTACTGGACGGAAAGTAATATTGTATGAAAACGTCGATCATTACCAATTTACGTTAAGCCCTTCACATCAGTGTCGATAACTAGCAAACTTCAAATATTGCATTGAGCGATAAACACTAAGTAGTTGCTATAATTTAGATTCTGTCTAAAATATACTCGTACTTATAACTAGGAGTATAGTCGAATTTCGTATTTATTATGTTATTAACTGAGATTTGGTATTAATTATTGTTTCAATATTTAGCGCACATCGATAGTGTAAGATCATTATTTTTATAAATAATTATTAAATAATAGGCATTTCGGTATAGGGCGCCGCGGCGCCGTGTGGGAGCGGTGCGATAAAACCTATAAGGTTGCGATTTATGCTACGAAATTCATAGTTTTCTTAAATTATACTTATATATTTGTGGTTATATTATTACTACATTATTTTAGTAAATACGTATGGTATAGACAATAGTTTAAACCAAAAATTAATAACAATTTTAGTATAGTTATAAGTAGGAATGTATAGTTATCTCGAGAATGAGAACTCATTGGTAACAAATTGTTTTCTTGAGAATTCAATAGATAACAGTCAATTTGTTACATAATCGTCTTTACGAACTATAACGTGTCAATACCAAGTTTCAGATATTAAATAATGTATATGTTGACGGGGAACAATTCCGTATTTGCTTAACATATGCTATTACTATCCACAAATCACAAGGCCTTAGTTTTGGCAGTCCTCTTCTCAACATAGGCTCCTCTATATTTAATAAAGGGCAGGCTTACGTTGGAATCTCCAGAGTTAAAACCTTAGATGGAGTACGTCTTAACAATTTAGATCCAAGTCACGAGAGCTCTATTGTAGAGTACAACCATCTGTGGACGTTATACCGCCCCGATTTGCCCAAAAATTCCTGATACTGAATTGGCATTGCACTTGAACATTTAAAAGTTACAAGAAAATATAGAAAATAACACAAAAAAAAGACAATTATACCCCGTAAATATACGAAAATACAGTAATTTATCAAAAATAATTTGGTATTAATTTAGTTATAAATAAGTACCTCGTATAATTTATGTACAAAAAGTAATGATATCCCATCAAAAACATAAATGTGAAATGATAGCCGAGTTTAATATTATGATATATGCCTTGATTGTTGACTTCTACGACAAAAGAGGTGAGATCTAAATAGGTGCCAAGTTCAATGGTCTGTCCTGAAATGTATTTATAACAATATAAAATATCATTTTTTCTTATAACTTAGGATAATATACTGTAGCCTAAGGGCTAACTTGGCTAGTTTTCATATATTCCGTAAATTGAACAGAGGCCCCTGTGGGGTTGCGTATAGCAAGTGTTTATGACAAAATAGCTATAAAGAAAAATTAGACAATAATTTTAATACATTATATCTATTTATTATTTAAAGTAAGATTATTTCCAAACAACATATACGTATTGGAAAATATTTGAGATAAGTAAACTAGTGATAAAGTTGATGCTCTCGAATAGTCAACAATGACAACACCCGACTGCCGCTTAAATGTATTGCGTGTAATATATATCTATGTAACTCAATTATTTTAATACTTAAATTATTTAATAATTAACTATATAACTCAAACTATATATCTCAAGCGATTAAACTGAAAAAACCTCAGACAGATGGCCACTGTTTCAACGACAAGGGTACAAAAAACCTGCGTCAATGTTGTGTGTAGTGGTACCAACGAAATGGTGCTCGCATGCTCGTTCAACTCCTCTAACTGCCTGTTAATTGACTGTATAAAATTACATTGGATAGGTAAATTATTATTGCTTATGCTACTAAGGTCAATTCGACCTAACTTCGTATTTTGTAAAAAGGGTCCATTTGACAACCTCATTTTACCTTCGCATAGTAATTCTTACTTCTTTAAGACGTCGTAAGGCGAAAACGAATCGATTTAATTTATTACATACTTTATTAATATGTATATCCGAATTAAAATTCTGATCCAACCATACTCCAAGGAATTTAATAGATGACGCTTCTTCTATCTGTTTATCATTGAAATTAATATCTAATTTTACAGGGATGGCTTTAGTGTTACGAAATTGCATATATTTTGTTTTCTCAAAATTTACAGTCATTTTGTTTTCAATATGACTATATTGTACATGTTATATTTCATAACAATAAGTAATGCAGTAAAGCAACGACTTAACTCGCCAACTGGCGTGCTTTAAGACACAAAATGTAGGTATGTAAGCTGTAATAAAACAAAAATCATACAACGCAAGCATCAAGGCTACTGTTATCATTTTTGCCGACTATAAATAAGTTTGCAACAAAAGCACGTTCCAAATATGTTGATTCCACACATGCGGAGAATGTAGGTATTATATAATAACGTCAACATCCCATAATGTTGCCTTATACCTTATATATTTACACAATCAGACTTTTTGTGTCTAATGAACAAACTTATATTAATAATATTAGATTCGTGTTTAAAAATTGTAATTGTATTATTGTTGTGGTGGATAATATTATATGTATTATGTTTGTATGTCGGTTCTTTATGTGCAGCAAGCTATTGCATCTACTCTATGACTATGTAAAATAAATCGATGCAAAAAAGAGTAAAATAAAATCGTATATTTTTCTTATGTCACAAAATTAACAAGTCAAATTTATACAATACTTTTTAAAGGTAAAGAAAGTAGCTTTTAAGTGGCCAGCAATATACTATGAAGTCCACAACAATTGTTAATTGTAATATTATTTAAATATTTTTAAAGGTACTGGTGATTATAACAATGGAGTCGACTGTACCACATACAAGGTAACTGTACTTACTTCTAAGATAAACTGGTGACATTGCAATTAATTGCAATATTATTTACTCATACTTATGGAATAATACTCTTACTCATGGAATATACAATTCTATATCGCTTTTTTTTATTTATTAATATTTTACGACTCTGCATACAAGTCCTTTTTAGCCCAACATAAAGTACAATAACTTAAAAACAATGACAATTTCTTTACAGTGTTGGAAATAAATTTATATAAAGTCTTGAATAGTACAGGCTTTGATAAGATCTCTTCTAGAGACTTCGGTACGTCATTACTATGCTCTTGAATCTCGTGAATGAGTAATAATCTGTCTAGTCCGTATTTTCTACATTTGAATATAATATGATTCAAATCTTCATCTTCATTGCAATTTTGGAATTCTTCAGGACATTTTGGGTTGAGAACCATTTTCATTCTATACAGGTGAGTGCGAGTTTGATTATGGCCAAATTGATATAATTTTTTTTTTTTTGGAACAAAAATCAGGTTGTTCACAATGTTTACTTTACCAATAGAACCAATTATACTGTATTGGATGAAATTTTCCATATCATTAGGTAGTTATAAAGAAAACCTGTGTCATTAGGTAGAAATTGGGTTTGTTTATTCTATGGTTTAAAAAGTTAGGTTAGGTTTCATTTATTTTTGGAAAATCAAACATATTGATTTCTTCTAAATACTTACACCAAAGGGATCCTCATATAAGAATTTCGCAGACATATCAGATGTAAACTGTGGGTCTCGTCGTGCCAATTGTAACAATTGTTTTCGACGTTTTGGGCATTTAGGAACGTGTATAAACAATTTGTTGAGACATTTAATTGTCGTACTTCGACACATAAACACCGCATACATTTTTCACCGCTTTCACAATTCCAATAAAATCTGTATACTTATCACTCAAAAGAGTTAGATCGACGTATTAGCCTTGTTTCCAAGTTAGCCAATTGTGTTTTTAATATTATAGCTACAGATTGCATGAAGTCATAAAAAGGTATGGGTACAATTGTATATTTAAAATCGTTTTTTATTAATATACCTACACCTCCATATCCATCTATATCATTTTGATTTACATAGTTATAACCAGGCATGTTAAAGTGGCAATTCTCTCTCAACCATGTTTAATTTAACAAGCAAATATCAATATAATTCTCATGAATATAATTAATAAATAAAGGTTTTTTATTATACATACTTTGTATATTGAATTGAGAGTTTCTTGACTTAATGGCTTAATCACTTTTAAGACTTTTTATTATGCCCTTAATAACTGAGGACGTCAGTGCCCTGCTATCATTTCTAAGGAGACTAATGCTCCAATAAGACCATTTAGTATGTGATCACTTTTAAGAATTATTTCAATAAGTTCTTTATTTTCAACTTGTGTACTTGGTAATGGGGATTTTTCCGTAGATGATTTATTATTTATTTTTGACTTGAGTATTATTATTGTTTCTAGAACTAGAACGTAATGTGGGAAAGTTAGTGTCATAGTTTTTTGTAATATTGTTTGGATCAACATTTTTAAAATTCACAGCTTGAGAATATTTAAAATTATTGTTTTTTTCTTCCATTTGATACTTTTTAACAGGACAATCTCGAGAGATAGCAGGTGCTGACCTCCACAGTTAATACATTGTTTAATAATTTCTGCTTTTCATTCAGAATACTGATGATCACCTGCACATATTAAATACTTTTGAGGAGATTTACAGAACTTTGCATCATGGTTAAATTTGAAACATTTATGGCATTGCAGAAGAGGAGCCGTGTATTCATATACTCTATATCTAAAGATATCTAAATACACATAGTCTGGAAGACTTCCAGACAAAAAAGTCAATCTAACTAAACCAAACGGTTTAACTGCTCTGTCTTGTCTCTTCGCAGTTTTTCGGCCCGGAGACGGGGCGTCGCCGTCCCCCCTCAGGCATGATACTAAGATAGGTATTTAATAACTATATACGACGTAATTATTATCTATATAAGGAAAAATAAAGTATTTGCAGTGAAATTAACAATAAATATAAATATTTTTTGGGATCTTTTTTCAATTCGCGTCTATTTCTTCTAAAAGCCCGCTAATCAATCTCCTATACCGCTTGTGATGTAATGTTGCCATTTAAGTTGATTTGACACCCCTTCCCTTTTAGTGGGCACATTTTATTTCTGGACTAAATAAGACTAAATATTATCGTTTTTTAAAAAACTTTTTTTTTAAAAAGTTTTTATTGAAGAGTTTAAATATATATGTTCATACCTAGCAAAATTACAGGACTACGTAATTTTTTGGCATATTTAATGTTTGTGTAATTTAATGTTTTCATATTTTAAGAATTGATGGATTGCTGCTCTTTGCACGGTTGCACCTAGTGGACTTCCACAATCTTCGTTGGCAACACTTATTTCCAAGTAGGTATGAAATATGAATTACATATATTGAATATCACATTTCCGCACGCTGCGTTACGCTGCTCTCAGTTGTTTAAGTTTGAAGACTGTTTGGGATTATTACTGGATTGGAACTTTGCGGTAAGTCTATTTGTTTTTAATTTGCACCGAATTTGTTAATAAAATAATACAGGGCGAAATAGCCAATTAACGCGTCACTTACTGATATAACAAAATTGTTTAGTTACTCTCAAATACATATTTCCTGAATTCGCCAACTTATAACTTTTACTAAAGCCGACGGTCGATCAGATAGTATCATAGTTTTTTTTTCTTGTCACAGCACCATATAATACAGGTAGTATTATGTGGTGTTGTATCACAAACCGAAACATTCAATATTTTTGAGTCCGCGTGTTATACATTGACCGAATAAAAAAAAATGTTCAATGATCTAATCCAAAAATGCCAAAGAAAAGAATTTCATCGTTCAAGCAATAATAATGCTTGAACAATGTTAACAAATTTACGTCCTCTATTTAATTTTACACTCTTAAAGGTAACATAACAAACTTTGAATGTCATATTAATTTATATTTAAACAGCCTATAAATTAAGTGTGATCTCGCTTTAAAAATGACGACATTTGCATACAGCCTGTTATCTCCGCTTCCAAACACTTACAGCCCTTATTTTGCATTAAAAAGTAGCCTAGGATATAGGCTATATTCTGGGGGTCTAGATTATGTGTGTATCAAATTATATTTAAATCGGTTCTGTAGTTTTGGCGTGAAAGCGACACAGACAAACAGACAGGCAGAATTAGTATAATATTAATAAGAATATATAGAAAAAGAACGGAGTGCAGAATGCTAATATTTTTTTTAATTATGCATAAAAATACACAATATTCTTATCTGTTGTGTAATTCATAGATAGTCATTAGCGGTGTACCAGAATCTCATGACAAAAATGGTAAAAAGAAATTGATGTTCGCAATACTGGGGAGATTGGATTAAACCGATTGATACTTGAATATTTTCCAAAAAAAAAAATATTTTACACTTAATGTATAAAATATTGCAGTTTATTCAAGAGTGGTGTTTAATTAGTCGTATTTTAGTATGAGCGGATGGCATGATTAGGGCCTACGTATTTTTTTTTATTTAATATTTTACGGCTCTGGATACAAGTCCTTTTTAGCCCAACATAAAATACAAAACCTAAAAAAAACCTAATTACCTGTTAGTTATACCTACCAACCTATTAGTGATATTTTTTTAGAAAAGAGTGAAATTATGTCTGTATTATAGTGAATTAAAATCTATCCATTCAATACTTTTTTACACACAAAATGAAGAAGTTTTCGTTTTGTGTTTTTCTCCTTACATTAAGCAAGCAAACAACTACGAAGAACTTGAAAATGGTTCCAGGATCTCTAAAGTCTTCATCAGGTCTTCATCTAATGAGGATGACGATGACACGGCTGTATTTATATGTAAACCGTTCCTTCTGCGGTTTCAACCAATCTGTCCTGTTCTATGAAATACTTTTCCACTTTTATGACATGTTCATAAGACTTTCGCCAATAATTATTACTAGTATTACTTACTTACTATTAGCACTACAATAATTACTATTAGATATTAGTGGACACCCCTGACCCCTAATAAGCCAAAGTTCAGTATCAGTATAAGTATATAAATGAAAAATAAAAATGGTAAAAATTAAATGTATGTGAAACAAAGTATCAAAATCTGAATATATGGCAGAGGCCAGAGCCTAAATAATATTTGTGACAGTGACAAGTTGATTGATGGATGGATTGGACTGACGTAGCAGGAGTTTGGAGCGAAATGGTTAGAGTGCTGAAAAGAGAAAAACCGTGCGAGGAATCGAACCCGCGACCATCGGAAGTAAGGGGGTGTGCTAAACCGCTACCTTAATATAGACCTTATACTTGATAACTTTAAAGTTCATTTCGATTATTATGCAAGATCACTTGATGGCGGTGTTTTATTTATTAGACACCCTGTACGGGAGTCGACCGGATCGTTACAGCACCTATAGGTACTTACTAATGTTCATTCTCGTTCCCAGATCCACAATGTGTTACGCCGGAAAATGTTGCTACTTTATGAAGGTAGAGACTGGATCTATGATATTCGCTGTTATCAATATGGTTAGTATAATTTAAAAAAAAATTATTTACGCTTTGTAGCGCACTTACAAGCCGAAACCAAGTGTGTAGAGTGTAAGCGTAAACGCGATTACGTGTGTGTGTGCGTATATGTGTGAAAAAGCCGCCAGCGGTGCCTCATAAACTCCATACTCTGTAACTTCACTCACCTTCCGAACCTAAACACTGCTTACAAAGCAAGCTGTTTGTAGACTGAAACAGTTCGGACAGAGGTATGTACGCAGACGACTAAGTATAAACACGTTCTAAGTATTGCCACTCTTAAAACTTTTAACATTGTACAAAGAAATTAAAAAAAAAACACGTAAGTATACATAGTCTATCCATAAATACTATTACAGTAACAAAATATTACATTTGAATTGGAATCTGTCTTTGTTTTAAAATAGGTATTAATTGTATTTTCTCAATTTCGCACCAATCAGTTGTTAAATATTTTTGTGATTTTAGAATAGTGTATGGATAAAAGGAACCGATTCGCTGTGATAGCATTACATAAAGTAGGTATTATAAACTCTTTAGTATTAATAAAATATATAATGTGTCTTTTGACGTAGATTGAACTTCATCTATGAATTCATTAAACTGTTACCACTAACTATAAATCTTTATTTAAATTTATAAAAGTAGGTATGGAACCAAATTAAATTTAGAAACTCTTCAACCACAAATAATGTCATATTTTGACTGAAGGTCGGACGGTATAGACATATCATTATTCAAATAAACTTAATATAAGCACTTTTGAATAGTCATATTCGGAACGCGGACTCGTCACAGGAAGTGAAGAAGAAACTTGCGTGTTATACTTTTAAATATATGTTGTTTCTAAGTAAATACAAACATCTAAACATCATATTACTGAGGCAAATATTACTCATAACGATTACTTGAATGACGAGCATGCATGGCAATAGTCGTTCATGCACGGGATTATCATTTAATGTTAGATATAATAATAATAATAATATATGAGTAAATATTGTAAATAAACTGGTTTTAAAAAAAATAAGACATTTAATTGAGTTTCTTGCCAGTTCTTCTCAATTAAATCTGTTTACTGAACAACAAAATAATATAAAACTTTGACGTTCATAAGGGGCTAAAATGTCCTACATGAATAAATGATTTTTTAATTTGTTTTTCTTACTTAGTCATCCGAATGTACTCGGGTTGTTCGTAACAAGTAACAATAATGATATAAATAAACAGGACAATTCACACTGCGCTATCTAGTCCGAAGTTAAGCTAGCTTGTGTTATGGTTATTAGACAACTGATACCAACACATATTTTGTTTTTCGTAAATACTTACGAAATTATACTTACATTACGAGTATATATACAAAACATCCAGAGCTATACAAACAATCGTACTCATGAATACAAATGTTTGTACCGTGCTAGAAATCGAACCCGTGACCATCGGCAATTTAAGAAACAACAGAAATGAAATACTTGTTTCACAGTTATTTCTATGCGAGAGCCGTAATTTATTTAAAACGTACCAAATGAAGAACTATAGAAGATTTTAAATAAATGACTACTTATAAAAATCTAGTACAAAAATTGTACGAGGATGTTGACTTGGTATCAAAACCCAAGAATCCCGTACCCGCTGGATATATTATTATATACTGGAGTCTAATTTAATTGTCACTATCAATCCAATTTATTTTTATTTCTACGATTTTTTTTAAGACGATGATTGATTTTTTAAGGCCGAACCTAATAAATTGATTACAATGTTTGTTTTTTTAATTAATAAAAATGGAATGGAGCATCCGCCTGCTCGATAAAGAAAAACCTGTGGAAGAAAAGAAGATGAGCATGAGGTCAAGTCAGTTAACTCATCGTGGCAAATTCACCAGGAATGTATCATGATGTTTTCCAGAGGGCACCGCGTTCATTAGTCCACTTTTACAACCGATACCCTCCCCTTTTCTTTGACCATAAAATATCTAATTAATACATATCTATTTATTATTATACGCTATTAGTGTATCATAATTGCAAATTATCTCATACTAATCGGACCAATGAAATGGCAATTGTTCGGAGTTAGTTTCTGTCAGGAGTACACAGGTTGTAGTAGGTAAAACTACCTTATCTATAATGTAGAATAGAAGACTCACAATATTTATTTTTTACAGATTATCAATTCTATACTCGTCATCGGTATTATTGCAGCCCTGGTATGGTATGAAATTTATTATTATCAAGCTCTACATCTCACGGCTTACAATTTTGTGCACAACATTTATCAGAATTATATTTACATAAACATAACTATAGGTGTAAGCCTTATTTTGAGTTTGATATATTTTGCATTTTCTGTATTGTTGCTCAACGGATTAATGAAGGTAAGCGTTATTTATACATCTTTACATATAAATAAAATTGGAGTGTCTGTTTGTATGTATATCATACTTTTGATTGATAGGTATATTTTTATATTTCCACCGATCCGTGCTTCTCATCTTAATTCAAAATATTTTGTTACACTTTTACTACTTTCCTTCTTTACCTTTAAGTTATAATGATAAATTCAATTTACATACATTGAAATTGATAAATTATTTATAGGTTATTTTATTTAGTTAGTAACGTAGATAGTTGTCTTTTCCTAAATCTAATATGGTTAAAATGGATTTTTCGTTTTTAAATGCACACTCTATAGGTGCGTCGTGCATAGATACATCTATACATGTAAATAAAATTGGAGTGTCTGTTTGTAATTGTATGGTGTAGAATATGGTAGGTCACTTTGTAATGGCAAAACGAAGACTTTTACAGCATTGAATTAATTTCGAAACACTTATTAAAAATAAAAATTAGAATGAGACAAGCGGTTCGAACCCGCGATCATCGGTAGCGGTGTGATAAACCGCTGGACTACTAACGCCGCCTTAATTGAGACAAGTCTATATAATATTTAACCTTAGTTACCTTTGCGTTCAGTATACAGTAGTATTAGCATAGTAAAACAGGTTTTTACATTCAACTTTGTACAAAGTCTACATAGATTTAAAATAATGATATTATAAATTTTCAGACAAAATCCGGGCAAGTGAAGGCCTATTTCATATTTGGTGTCATTATGAATGTGTTGAGCTACGTACTAATCATATTTGCATTCAGCTGTAATAACTGTTTCAGGTAAGTATTTTATTATCACTTTCATATTTACACTAGCGGATCGTCCCAGCCTCGCACGGATAAAGTAAAGCATAATAGGTATATACCTAAGTTTCTTGTATCACCTGAAAGTCCATAAGTATAGAGAATAGCGGCCTTTTCGTTCGACTGCAATAACGTAACCATTAATAAATTACTTTACAAGAATTTAAGAATGCATTATACTTTAGTGCACTCTTTTTAGAAATAGAAATAAAAATAATCTTTATAAATATGAACATTTTTGAATAGTCTACTATACTTCTATTTTAGTTGTTTTACAATGTAGCATTGAAAAATATATACAACTCTAATTTACACCCTCCTATCCCTATTTTAAAAACAACTAGTTGTTCCAAAATAAAACCATTTTGGGACAAATAGTTGTTTTTAATAAGTTGTTATAATATTTTTAAATTGAATTATGATTTCCAGTGTCCTACACCCTGTTGCTCGTGATGATCTACATGACGTACAACAAAATGGAGGCTAACAAATACTGTGGAACGGTATTACATGACCGTTCCATCGTCGTCTCAGCTTAAATTACTATTGTACTAATTGTTTATTTTATGTTAACAGTTTGGTTTACACTAACAGTTATATATAAGGAAAATAACCTTACGTTAGTAAGGTTATTTTCCCTGTCAAAGTGGGAACTCTTAAAACAAGAACATGAGATACGACAATATTTTATAATATTATGTTGTTAATTTATTTAACTGTTATTTTCACATGTTTACCTGATTGGGAAGAGCGGGATATACAGCACCCATAATTATCTTAATACTATTATGTAACATTATCCTGTCTATGATATTATTAATAAAAATATTAATTGACATAGAATAATTCAATATGATTAGTATTATGTAAAATTATATAGTTAATCTTCCTAAAAAAAGTCTCATAGAAGGCTCTATTAAAGAAGCTTCCGACTCGATTCACACTAACTTCTGAGCATGTATAACATGTTCTTCATAGTTTACTATAATCTAAGATTGGTGTTTTGTAGCGAAAACAATACCCGATAAGTATTTTAAATGTGTTTGCGTAAACATTATTATTTTTATATTATAGTAAAGACTCTTGTAATACATAATTAGTTTACATTCTGCACCTACTCCAATGAAAATGTTATCACTCTATAAACCCTTATCTACCTACTAAACATTCATTTAAAATGGTTGTCTTCAATTATAGCAAAGGTTTATGCCCGGAGGATTCCGTGTTGCGGTCACACGCCAGTGAAACTGTACGTAGCATTATTTGGGGATTAGTATTTTTATTCTAGTTTTTAAGTAATTAGAATACCT